TGATTTCTCTTACTGGCAGTACTTTTCCAATGCCCGTAGGCACTCTTTCATTAGCCCATACACTGCCAGTTGATTGCAATGGAAGTCTGAATCTGTTTTGTCTCTTGTGGAAATTTTATGCTGTGTGGCTGACATTTTCTGGTCAATGTGTTTTGCTGTAACAAAAAACAATTGTTAGTGGAGCTAAAGAATGCTGGAGCTAAGAGTCACCCCCATGAAAGGCCTTGTTTGCATGCTTTGTGCGCAACCTTCAATATAATTTAGGAATATTATGATTCAATATAGGAATGTGAATGTTAAAGCATTATTAAACCCAAAATCAAAAATGTATTCTATTGCAGTTTACCAGTTCTTGGATGTAATGGCTGCACTAGTTTTTCTTTTTTAGGCTTTCTTTCTTCTATTTTCATTTGGTGGTCCAGCCAGCACATCAGATCAAGCTGTTTTGCAATTACAAGGATGAGACAGACCATTTAACACTGACGGGTGTTTAATATGGTCAACTTTTAGTTATTTATGTAAAACCTGTATCCGAAAAGGAAAAACCTGTTGCTCTAACTGATTAGAAAGTATTATCTGGAGTTTGGTTTCAATTTGTTATTATATTTAAATCTACTAGTACATCTAACACTTCCCTCCCATCAGACTAACAATGCTGCTGTCCAAAGGTGCCCCCTGTGCTCCCTAATCCAGAGTGGAGCATCTCAAGATACAGAAGGTGTGCTACTGTCCAGATCAGCAGGTGGAAGGGGAAAAAAAACTTAAAAAAAAAAAAAAAAAGCTAAAGAAAACGAATACAGCCACTGCATCTAATGACTGGTAAGCTGCAATATATTATGTTTTGAGTTTAATACCCCCTTTGATATACATAGATTATAGAGAACATAAGACTGAGTATACCATATGATATTTTTCTGTTTGGCTGCCATCATGATATAACACCAGCATCCGAATTCTGAGTTTTGTAAGTAGATCAAGAATCTTTTAAAGGGTTTGTAGAGCAGTAGTGTAAATTCAAGCTACAGTGAAATCTACATTTTTTTACACGAGTCCATAGGTATTTTACCAACCCTTGTAAATGCCAGTATTGCCATCTCTGGCTTGAAGGGTAATACAGGTGACGTGTGCTGCTGACGACCGGCTGCTCTATAGTGTTTACAAAGAGCAGGTATACTGAATTGTGACTTGTGTAGTTTTTAGCGTAGTTTAATAATACTCAATACATTTTGCATTCTGCATTTTGTTGTAGTCTGCAGTGTGTGTGTGTGTGTGTGTGTGTGTGTGTGCGTGTATGAGGAGGTCATTTTACTTACCTTGTTTTTGGCATTGGAAACCCCGCACTGAGTAACAACTGGTGCCCTGTTCCCAGTGCTGACTATAGTTGGTGGGTTGTGTTTCAAGCATGCTTTTGTTGAACTAAAGAACTTTTTCCTTATGATTGCTAGTTTTTAATACATTTTCAAAAGAGATATTTCAAGTGATATTTCTTAAGCAATGCTGAAGAACATTAATGATAATGTTCTTTTGAAGGCCAGCTACTTTGTACCATGGCTGGTTTCTTCCCAGAAGACACAATCAGTCACTGTTGATTAAAAAGAAGTGTCCTATTTATTTTCTGATATATATTCTTTCGATGGTGATTCCTAATTCTTCTGTCTAGATGGGGCTGTTCTTGTAATCATTGCAAGGTCACTGGGAGAGATTAGAGATTTACAGTTGGGGTAGCATATAACCGAGCGTTTTCCTGGCAGTAGCTCAGTCGGCTGATCCTGCAGTAACCAGTAATCTGGGGTTCATTTTAGGGCATTGCTTTGCATATTGTGTCAAATTCACAATACTATACAAATGAAAGTTGACCGGTTTGTTTGTAACTGATTATGGATATAGTGGTAATAAGATGATTATCTGAATTTACACAGCTGTTGACGGGGATTTAGAGTAATCGCAAATCATTGCAGTATTGTGCGACCTTTGTGGCAGGTTAATGTGCCCTTATTCAGTCGCACGACAGCAGTTGCAGGTCTTCATTGTGAAAGGGCAAATCCAGAAATCACCCTGGTTCATTTTTGAAAGACCAGTCACTGTCATTCAAACCATGTTATGTTTGCTGGCACCGCAATATAATATTCACTGCGGTATCAGACTTGTGTGTGACAAACAAGGAATTTGCTATGTGTTAACCTTGGGCAGTAACTTAATGTAAGGAAAAGCAATATTTATTTATTTCAGGTACTTATATAGCGCCATCAATTTACGCAGTGCTTTACATATATATTGTACATTCACATCAGTCCCTAACCCTCAAGGGGTATACAATCTAAGGTTCTTAACTTATCTTCATACACATACTAGGGACAATTCAGACATGAGCCCATTAACCTACCAGCATGTCTTTGGAGTGTGGGAGGAACTCGGAGTACCCAGAGGAAACCCACGCAGGCACAGGGAGAACATGCAAACTACAGGCAGGTGCCATGGCTGGGATTGGAACCAACGACCCGAGTACTGCTAGGCAGAAGTGTTAACCACTTAGCCACTGTGCTGCCCCAGCCTAACTGCAGTCTGTTCCCCAGATCCTAGGGACACAAACTAAGGAGAATGTAAACCTGCAGCATTAATAAAATGTTTATTGAACAGCATATATAAAAACAGGAGAATACTTTACATAAGAGCTTTTTTTTTAACCACTTCACCTCTCACACCCGGGGGTGGACTGACAACTCATGGGGCCCCCGGGCAATAGGGGATCATGGGGCCCCTGCGTCCTTGCCCACACCCAAAAAAGCCAATGAAAGGTACTGGGGGCATCTCATGGGGCCCCCTACTGACCCCGGGCCCTCGGGCAGTGCCCGAGTGCTCGAATGGTCAGTCCGCCCCTGCTCACACCTATTTACCCCCTATGGACCAGAGCACTTTTTACATTTTTGCTATAGACCTGTTTATTCCACGATAACTTTGTCATTACTTAGGAAAAGAAGGTAATACATACTTCAGGATTTGAAAAACTCCATCCACACAGCCGTGTCATTCATTCACAGAGTTCTGTGAATAAATGAACTACGCCTACTGTCAGCCTCCTTGGCCAACAAGTTGTATTTCTCAGTGATCTGTGAGGGCACTGGTGAGCTCTTTCATAGTTCATTGATTCTTCCTGCTATTCAGCAACTGCCTGCCCCTATGAGGTAAGGGCAAACAATTGTACTGAGTGTCTGCAGGAGCCTGGCATTGCGCCTGTGGTCTGCTGATTGCAGGTGTAATGCCTTACAGGCTGCAAATTAAAAAAAATACATGCACATTTTTGTACCTGCAAAAGATGTGCATTAATTATTTCCCTGTAAAAGATGGCGTAGCCTTTAAAAATACTGTCTGCACGTAAACTGTGCACATTTTATTCTGTAATATGTCCTATTTAATTTGACACTAAAATTATGATTCTAGTACAAACCATTGCAATGGTATATACAAATGGAATAAATCTTTTTAATTTTGCAGGGTTTTTTTTCAATGGGAAATGTGTAAAACTATTAACAGAGAAAAAAAGAAAATGAAAATGTAACCACTTAAAGACTAGTGCATTGCGGTCATTTGCCCAGTGTCATTAGTACAGTGTCAGTGCTATTTATTAGTATACACTTTTTGGGATTTTTTTTTTTTTTTTTACCAAAGCCATGTAGCAGAATACATTTTGGCCTAAATTTATGAAGAAATTAAAAAAAAAAAATGTTTTATTGAATGTTTTATAGCAAAAAGTAAAAAATATAATTTGTCTTTCAAAATTGTCGGTATTTTTTCGTTTATAGCGCACAAAAGAAAATATGCAGAGGTGATCAAATAGTACCAAAAGAAAGCTCTATTTGTAGGGAAAAAAATGACATAAATTTCATTTATGTACAGTGTTGCATGACCGCGCAATTGTCAGTTAAAATAATGCAGCACCATATTGCAAAAATGGCCTGGTCATGAAAGGGGGGGGGGGGGTGTAAATATTCCAGAGGGCAAGTGGTTTAAAAAAACCCATCATTTGCTGATCTAAGTTCAGCTGCAGATCTAAGTTTTTCTGCAAATGAATGAACAAAAAGACACAAATGTAACAATATGCTACTTTCTATCTTTGTTTAATTGTGTTTGGAGCAGTGTTGTTTAGAAACACTGATTCATACTGCTTTTTTTGATAACTGCAGCTGCTGACACCCTCTCTGAGTATACAGCAATGCTGGCTTTGATTAACCACCTCAATAGCACTGTGTGTGCATATACGGAAATTCTTAGTACTACACTTTGATTTTTTTTATAGAAAACTAGATTACTAGTTTACTGACCACTGATCACTAGATTATTATTATACAGGATTCATCTAGCTCCAACAGTTTGCTCAGCTCTTTACAATATAAAGGGAGACAGTACAGTTACAATACAATAAAATACAATATGGGTTAAGAGGGCCCTGTGCATAAGATTATTTTTCTTGACAAATTGGATGAAAATCTGACACTCTAAGCAGAATGAGTGATTGCTGCTTGTGTTTTTTTTGTCAATAGGGAGGTTACCAGCAGTGCCATCCACAGAGAGGAGGTGATTCCCACACATATGGAGCATTCTGCTGACTGTACACATTTTGAATCTGCCAAACTTTGAAGGGTGTATGGCCAGCTTAAGGCTCTAAGTGTGGGGATCACCTCCTGGTCTGGCTCAAGCTTATGTGTGTTGGTGCCATTAATCAACCAGAGAGTAGGATACATATTCACATTTGCAACTGTTTGCACACCAATTGACATTGGTAGTAATGTTTTGTATTAAGTTTTAATACATATATGTATGACATTTTCAAACAGTATTTTTTGGTAAGCTAAACAATTTTACTTAACCTCCTCCCGCCCGCCATACAGTAATATGACGGACGCAAGGTGGCTCTCTCGTTCTGGGTGGACGTCCTATGACGTCCTCCCATTGTAACCGCTCATGCACGGGTGCGGGAGCGCGTGGCGATTGGCAGTGCGCTGTGTCCCTCAGACACAGCGGATCACCAATCCACGGAAAAGAGCCGAAGATGTCGGCTCGGTGATGTGATCAGCTGTGTCCAATCACAGCTGATCACATGTAAACAGGGAAATGCCGGTTATCGGCATTTTCTCTCCTCTCCAGCTGTCACGCTGACAGCTCGAGAGGAGAGGCAATAACCGGCTTTTCGCGGAGGGAACATGTACACTGAGTGTGCCCTGATGATCAATGTAGCCCCAGCAGTGCCACCTGTCAGTGTTCATCAGTGCTAGCTGTCAGTGCTGATCAGCGCCACATCTATGCCACATATCAGTGCCTACCAGTGCACATCAATGCCACATATCAGTGCCCATCTGAGCTGCCTTTCAGTGCCACCTATCAGTGCCAGTCAGTGCCACCTATCAATGCCAATCAGTGCCACCTATCAGTACCCATCAGCGCCACATCAATGCCACATATCAGTGCCTACCAGTGCACATCAATGCCACATATCAGTGCCCATCTGAGCTGCCTTTCAGTGCCACCTATCAGTGCCAGTCAGTGCCACCTATCAATGCCAATCAGTGCCACCTAACAGTAGTGCCAGTCAGTGCCGCCTATTAGTGCGCATCAGTTCTACCTGACAGTGCCAGTCAGTGCCGCCTGTTCGTGCCATGTATCAGTACCATATATCAGTGCTGCCTTTCAGTGCAGTCATCAGTGTGATGCCTGTCAATGCCCATCAGTGCCACCTGCCAGTGCCTCCTCATCAGTGTCCATCAGTGCAGCCTATCAGTGCCCATCACTGCAGCCTCATTAGCTCACATCAGTGAAGGAGAAAAATCACTTATTTACAAATTTTTATAACAACAACTAAGAACATTTTATTTTTCAAAATGTTCAGTGGTTTTTTGGTTTGTTTAGGAAAAAATAAAAAACCCAGAGTTGATTAAATGCCACCAAAATAAAGCTCTATCTGTCACAAAAAAATAAAAATGTCATAAGGGTACAGTGTTGCATGACCGTGCAAGTGTCATTTAAAGTGCAACAGCGCTGAAAGCTGGAAATTGGCCTGGGCAGGAAGGGGTATAAGTGCCCTGTTGGCTTGTGGTTGATGTATCATGTATTTCTAATTGGTTCACATCACTAATTGCATCAGTGATTATTAAATTTACAAAACCTATCCAGTCAGGAGGTACTACAGGGTATAGTGGATATTTGCATTCTCCTCTTGAAGTAAAGTTTTTGACCTAGCCTATGTATCCTGTAATAATACTCTACAGTACAGTTTTATTCAGCTGTATGCAAGTTAGATGGTTGAGATTAACAGCTGTTGTATTTGGCACTGAGCTGTATCTTTTGAGAGCTGTATGTATACTGCATATGTCTGACCTGCTGCTCACCCAGAGATGCATTGCTTGCTATGCATTCCATAGCGTGGTGTAAGCACCTTTTTAAAAGTGTGAAAACTTTGGTTATAAAGCAATTTTATTCACAGTCTACCAAGAGGTAGTTTGAGACCGTTATGTAAGTGTGTAATACAGAAATAAAAATTTGCACCTCCTCGATATTTAGTTTTACTTTAAGCAAGTAAACATTATCTTGGATGTTTGTAACCCTGGTCAGGCAGGTCAGATGGCCACATTACTACATTACTAATCAGTAAATGGGACCTGATTTTAATTATTTTTACATACAATAAAAATAAAATAGCTTTGTTACTAATACTGACCAAACACCTATAAATGTCTGCAGGCTGAATGGGAAAAAAAAATGACAAGATTCTTCCATCTGCGCTGCGTAGCGCAGATGGACAAATCTCCCACTGCGGCTACTGTATTTTAACAGCTGTACAAAAAGCCTTTCTTTTGAAGACTGAATAAAACCGTTCCTGATTTTGTACTGATCATGAGTTTGTAAATTTAGATGTGTTTATGCATAAATTACTGTGGTCAGCCACTTTAAAACACCAGCATTTTCCCATATGCTTTAAACTTTAAATGGTTCAAGTCCAGTGAATAATCTGAAATGGTACAAAGGTAACAAGTAAACTACCAGGTGTAAAAGAAATGTAAATTTCAGTGTTCTAACCATTAAAAGTGTAGGTCTTTGTGTTTTTGTTTTTTTTTTAATTTAAATATTTATTAAATTTTTCATGTTAATACAAAAACTCAAACAGGGAAGTAATTCTCATACAAGTATACATTTATAACATTTCTGTCTTTCCCTTACTTAAAACTCTTTTCTTTCCCATCCCACTACCCCTCCCTCCCACCCCTCTTCCCCCTCTGCAGACTCTATCCCATTCTATTCTCTTGAGGCTTTTTAGTGTTATGTTAACATCCTAGTTTATATTTTCTTATATTTCTCTTTCAATCCTGCTCTTTCCCACTTTTCCCATCTCCTGAGATACACTCCCATTCTGTCTTCCTGCATATGATATGATCTTTCCATTCTACCTATCTGGTTTACTCTGTTAATCCAGTCCACCTCCTTCGGTACCTCGACATTCCGCCAAAACTTGGGTATCAACCCTTTCGCTGCATTCAAGAAGTACCAAATACCTGAATCTTTATATTTATTTACAGATGTCTCCACAACGTGTAGGAGACACGTCGTTGGATCTAATCTTATGTCAATTTCCGTTATTTCTTTAATCAACTTGACTATTGTCTTCCAAAAAGCCTGGATTTTCGGACATTCCCACCATATGTGAAACACCGTGCCTATATCTCCACATCCTCTCCAACACATATTTGAACTTTCCCCATTCATCTTGTGTTCAACACTCGGTGTGATGTGCCATCGTGTCACAAACTTATAATTAACCTCCACCTCTCTCATACTAACATTATCGTGTATCAATCTAAACATCTTTCTCTGTCTATCCTCATCAAACTCAACTCCCATATCTCTTTCCCATTTTGTCATAAAATTTAACTTTGTGTTTGTGTCTAATTCTGTGAGAATTCTATACACTTTTGAAACACCGTGCTTCCCATCCCTTCGTGTCTCCAACAACCTTTCAAACATATTCCACTCCTGTTTTATTCTCAAAGGTTTCGGAAGTTTTCCAATAAAACTTTTCAATTGATGGTATTTCCACTCATCCATTCTAAAAAAAATGTCTCCCTTCTTCTCTATTAACTCTTTAAGTGATCTCAATTCCCCTCCACCAATACATCTCTCAGTTGGGGTGTAGGTCTTTGTGTTGAGCCACTTTGTGTTGAGTCCGCAGTTTGCTTAATAGACTTATTATGGGAAATCAGTTTCAAGCACAGCTTAACAAAGTAACAAAGTTCAACTGTGAAGAGTATATTTTGAGCAGTTGATTTTACAAAAAGACTCCAGATCATAAACCAGCTCCAGTGAACTACTGAAGACTAGACGATGGTCTCATGGGCCTATGAATAAAAATGTTAAACCTTGGTTCATCACACAGGCTTTTTATTACAAAGTAGAGTAGGTGAAAGCATGGTTTCTTGTGTGGGCTATCAAGTATCAGACATGGAGGAACAAGTGGGATGGTCTTAGGCTTTTATGCTACTGCCAGTGACTGGCACTGTGAACCAAAAGACTTACTATAGCATTTTCCAGCACAATGCAATACCCTCTAGTCCAGTGGTTCTCAACCTGTGGGTCGCGACCCCTTTTCGGGGTCAAACGACCCTTTCACAGGGGTCGCCTAAGACCATCGGAAAACACATATTTCTGATGTGTAAAGAGCAGCTACTGTGTAGAAAGCAGCTGCTGTGTTGGAAGCAGCTACTCTGTTAAAAGCAGCTACTGTGTTGAAAGCAGCAGTATTGGAGGTAAAACGACACTCATGAATTATAATTACTGGATAAATAATTTTATGGTTGGGGGTCACCACAACATGAGGAACTGTATTAAAGGGTCACGACATTAGGAAGGTTGAGTACCACTGCTCTAGTCTATCTGGTTTGTCAGGCATCCCTGAGCCAGCTGCTGACAGCATTGCGTAACTGGAAGTGACCCAGAAGTTGCTAGTTTTCCAGCCTCAATGTGTTTTTTACAGTGAGCAATTGCTCAATGTAAATTGTAAGTGCAATATTCTAATGAATAAAAATTGTTGGATGGTTTTACACTATGTGGGACGTTTGCTCTCATTCTCTTTCTGAGTCAATGTGATGGATGGTTGAAAGTGGGGACCCTAGCCGAACTGGGTTATCTGTATATCCAGAAAAGGAGTGGGAAAGACGTGGTTAACCTAGAATACCATTATTTGTGCCATTTATGACTACTTTATAACTAGGGGTCATAAGTATTTGGTAAACCTGCATTTTGCTACAATCTGATGGAGGCTTTGAATCTATCCTGACACGCCTATTCCAAGAGGTTTTGGGAGGAAGTTTTTACATATTGTGGACGTTCACTTGCTGAATCGTGGGACTTTCATAACTACATTTATTTTCACATGATCAGTTGTTTGACGCAAGGTCCTTTTCACACCAGCGGATCCGCCTTCTCATCAGGGGATCTGTCCACTGATCCCCACTGAGCAGGCAGGTCTGTGTCCGCTCCACTTATACAGAGCGGACATGAACACTGCCCACAGTCCTCCTATGGGCGATCAGATGATGGATGGTAATCCTCTTTTGGCCATGTTTCCAACCTGCTCAAAGGAAGACAAATTGTCCTCTACATCCTCTGTAGTGGACATACTGTAGGTTGTATAAGGTCAGCTGAACTGATTTCTCCAGTGTTGCTACAGGCAACGACACTGCTTGTTAACCTCTGGTCAGCCTCTCACTCGGCGCTCTGGCCAGGTTTTCAGTTTGCTTTAGCTGGGATCACCACTGCCAATAGACCTTTACTCTGGCCCCTGCCAGACTCCAAAACTGTCACTGCTTGTTCAGACATCTGATGGGAGTTCCACAGGTAGGAATATCTCATCCATCCAATATGTTATCTCAGTCACCTTTGCAAAGTCATCTTTTTAATGTCTCATATTCCAGGCAAACTCCACAGCCATTTGCACAGTTCCAGCAAACTGATACAAATCACTTTGAAAGTAGATCGATCATTCTGTCCTCTATGGTACAAAGTACATATAGTACTTTGACCCATGTTGCTAAGTGCTGTTGCAAGAGGGCATTTTGTCTTTTTTATGAGCAGGTTGCTGAGTGGGAAGCATGGCCCAAGGAATGTTGGTCATAATTATTGTAGCCCCTTCTACTGCACATAATGGGCTTTTTAATGGCCCCTTTTAGCATAGAATTCATTACAACAGAACTCACATTTTCCAGCAAGTATCAGAAAAGACTCTGTTTTTTGTTGGCAGTATCCTCTACCAATTATGGGGGTTCAACTCAATGTTAGCACTTTACTTGACCTTACGTCCAGCCACTGGAATACATTTTAGAACTTTTCTTTGCCCACTTTTATTTAAAAGTAAAGATTCCTTACTACAGGATTAAAACACTGGGGGTTTGCTTCATAAAGCAAAAGAAAATACAGGTCC